TGGGATTGTTTGGGGTTTGGTTGTTTTTTCTCCCACTCCTTTCTTCCCTTCCTTTTACCACCAGAACTTAAACTTGCTGGCCTCTTCAGTTACTGCTTTGTCTTCTCCCAGCTCCAGGTAAAGCATCTCCTCTGGGCTCCCCTGCTACTGGTGGTTCTGCTCCTTCACTTTGAAAATCCCATCACTCCATGTGCTCGAACTCTTTAAATAAGCTGACATAAGAGGTCAGAAAATCCTGTTAGTCCAAGAGTAAAGATCAGATAGTTCTTCAGCAATGACAGTACAATTACAGCTTCTGGCAGTAAATAAAATTTAGTGCAGGCTTAGCACAAAGTCAGCTTTTTTTTTTTAGGAGAAAAATGGAGTGGAGAAGTTGTTACGTTTGTGGATATTAAGAGGACATGTTTAGTGTTTGTTAATTTTGAACTTGCTTTGTCATAAAATATTGAGCTCCTCCCTAATCCCGCAGCCTTAATTTTGCGTCTGTGCAACCTGCTTTTAAGAGATTAGGGCTCTTTGTTTTTAATATATTGAAATCTACTTAGTGAGAGTGCTTTGTTTTGGAAAATAACTGAAACTATGGCAACCTTCTTTTCTTTCAGCATGTTTGTCTATCTCATGTACTCTCTGTTGTGAGTGTTAGCATAGTGGAAGCCATTGGTAGCTCCAAATGTTATACGAAGAGCAAATAAATTATGCAGCTATTAAATTCAGAGCACAGTAGTTGTGCTTTAAAAATCATGGCACACAAACTGGATGTCTGGTTAAAACTGAGAGTTGAAAGCCTGTTTGCTATCTGGATGGCCTAAGCGTACAAAAAAAAGCATGCACCAGGCCTGTAGGTTGGATGGAGCAGGCACTGAATCAGTGCTTGCCTGATCTCATTCATGTTCCCTGGAGCACTTGGGTTTACTGTTGTTGTTGTGCTGTTTTTTTTTGTCGTTTTTCCTTCAAACTTGTCAGCCACACACAGACATCACTTTGCATAAATTGACTTTCTGTTTCTAGCAGCTCTGGCTGCTCTTTCTTGGCTTCCAGTCTCTTGCACGTGGGTCGGAGCCTTTATTTATTTTTCTTTTACACTTCTGTGTTCAGTTGTTGCTGTGATTAGAAAATGGGTCATCCTTGGATGAACTCTTTTGAACTGCCTCTTGCAGGAGTTCGCCTTGGTGGAAAGTTCCTGCATTGGGAGCCATCTTAAAATCTTCTTGACAGCTACTGGTGACCTTATTTCGTAACTCTGTTTCTGCCTTGTTCCTCCAAAGCACTGCTGTTTAAGAAAAGCTTTTAAACATGTTTAAGATTTCAACTGTCTGGCTTATTTCCCAAAATAATAATAATAAAAAAAAGCTCTTTGATATATTAACAATTAAAATGGAGAAGTTCCGTTCCACGTCTGTCTGGCATTCGCGCTGATAAGTGGGACAGACGTGCCTGGCAGGCAGCCCAGTGCCTTCGGAGCTGTGTGGCTGCAGAAACCCTTGAACAGGGGAGGGCTCTTCCTCCTCTTCTTCCTCTCACAGTTAAATGTGCATACTGGTAAAGCCCTGTCCTTTCTCTTGCTGTGTTCATACTTTCCTTCCCCTCCAAGCTACTATCAGGATTTGTCTTAAATTGGACTTGGAATCAAAAAGCCAAATGATAGCTTTTCTGCTAGCAAGATGTTATTGTAAGCATTGTAGTATTTATTGATTGTGAGAATTCTCATGGCCCCTGTGGTTGTGGCTAAAATGAAACTTTTCTGTATGTGATCGTTCTGGTTTTGTAGAGGATTTGTCATTTTTCTTCAAGGGTTCTGTCACCCTGTTTTCTCAGGCACTGGCTTCTGGGCATGTCCTTCTGCTCACAGGTGTGGCAGCAGCCATGTGGCTTCCAAAGCACAATCCCCATCTTTCTCATCTTGTTGGGGTTGCATGCACCATGTATTTGTATGTATCGCCCAGTCTGCTGGACGCTTTTCATGTTACCTCATCGAGTGCAGCGTTTGTCATTTCAAAGCATCTCGAGGTTGTCTCTCACTAGTGTGAATGAAAGAGTTCCTTTTACTTGAAGGCTTCTGATCACTTTGCCTCTTGTTTCAGTTGTCATAACATCAAGAAAAATGCTTTCTAGACAGCAGAGATCTGTAGCCATTCCCTAATGCATGATGCTGTATGAAGGTCTTATCCCCTCAGGGCTGTATTGTTCTAACAGCTGGGAGGCTCTGGGGACAGCTGAGCACACCATTAGAAGTTGAAATTAATGCACGATGCTGCAGTGCATACAGGGTATGAGTGGGAATGCTTCATCTTAGCTTTTAATGTGCCACGCTTGCATACTGTAGCTTCCTATAGGGGAAGCTGAGGTGTTGGTTTTAATCTTTAAATGATTTCAGTCTTGATCTCTGGAGATAAGCAGGGGGAAGGACCATAAAGGCTATCCATTGGCAGTGTGCTCTGGTGGGCTGCAGAGGCTGGGTTGTTTCCTGTAGCAGTCTGTATCTGTGAGCCTTTTCTACTAATTGCAAGATCTACTACCTTGGTTTTTTTGTTTTGTTGAGTGGGCTGAAGTCAGTGTGGTTGTGAGCCATTGCCAGCTGTGTTCCTGTGGAGATTTGTAACTTGAGAGTACAGGAGGAATGTTGCTGGATATGTTTTATAAATCCGGAAGAAATAAATGGCTGTCAACACAAGTGAGGAAAGGTAACCAAACACTTACTGGGTGGCTCAATCCATTGGGCAGTTGTGGGGCTGTGTGAGTTAGAGGCTAAGGAAAATGAATGCTGAATTTAGACTCAAAATAAGAGGAATGATAGATTAAATCTGGACTCTCACCTTCTACAATGTCTGGGTCCTGGATACTAACAAAGGGGAAGTAAACCCTATTAAGTGGTCAGTAAGAATTATGATGTATAATTGTAGATGTCCAAGGACACTCCAGAGACTGATATGTAAACCAACTGTAGTTCTTAATTTCCTGACCTGTTCTAGCCTTCTTAGTGGATTATTATATTTCTGACTTGGAAGGCTCTTTGAAGGCTCCTCTAAGGAATGACAATCTGTAACTAATTTTAAGGGTTTTTTTTTTGGATGGCTTTTTAAGGATGGCTTTCTGTCTTTTTTTTTTTCAGAAACCAAAGGGCAAGTCAATTGTTGAGCTTTGGATTGTATGGTTCATACTATTTGTGTTTTCATATAAACATACTATGTTATCTGCCCACTACTGGGAGATCATGTGAAGCTTATTATTAAAACAGACAGCCTGACCCAAAACAGAATTGGGAAGAAAAAGTGCGTTCAAAATGAAGTAGTATCAGTACTTCCATTTGGAGATGTTTAATCAGAAGAGGTATGAAGTTTTCAGATTTTAAGTTTCCCTGAACTGCTCAGATCATTCATTGTGCTATAATTGTTAAGATCCTCTCACATTTTTTATTAACCTCTAGAAATAACTGCTGAATAGTGTCTCTTTCTAACTGTGCTATTAAAGTTAAGAACTAGATCATTAAATGTCTCGGAGTGCAAGCAATTTTATGGTCCTAAAAGCAGATGATGTACTGTTGTTTATTGTGGAGTGGCCTTCGAGCCTTCATCCACTCTTCCTTTTCTTTTCCATACTTTCCAGAAGCAAACATGACAAATTACAGGTAGATATCTAAATGCCTGATTTTGCAGTTTTCTGGTGATTTGGGCATCTTCAGTGTTTGGAAAAAAGTATACTTTGCTTACCATGTTAAGGCTACAGCTATTTTTATGGTGAAGTCTGCAGTCCACTGCCTCTTCTCTATTTCTGCTGCTTCCATTTACTGGCAATCGCTTGAAGAAATACATTCAAGTGGCAGGTTGTCACACAGAACAAAATCAAGACGTGTCTTAGTAATCCCATTCTGTAGGTGTGTGGGAATATAAATCACTGTTATTGCTTGAACTTGTTGGTTCTTTGCAAGGATATGTAAAAGGATGAATTGCATCAAATTGTGATATGTTAGTACTTCTACCTGTCTGGATGTGTTCCGTTAGAATTTGGCCAACCAGGTTCTGGAAGGTGTCTTTTTTGTGACTTTGTTCAAATTCTTACTAGCTCAGCTCTGGTAAGTTAAAGTCTTCCTAGGAGGTAGGCTGGTGGAACACCTTCATTAATTTATTTATTTATTCCCCTGCACCATGGAAATGCTTGATATAGGGCGAGTGAGTCTTTGTGGGTCAGCTGTCCTGTGAAAGCCATGGGGCAGCTGGCTCCTTGGAAGCCTTCTGCCAGCTTCTTCAGGTTCTGCTTGGCAGTACTTGTGGGGAAAACGTGGCAAAATGGACTAGAGCTGTTGGCCTGGGAACAGGTTGAATGTTTGCAAGTTACAAATACACATTCAAAATAAATCTTTAGGCTTAAGAAAAAGACCTGAAATTGAAATATTGTATGAAGTGATGACAAACAGAGATGTCTGTCAGTGGCCTTAGGACATTGTGCCTAGCACGTGGAGACTTACGGTGTTCCAGGTGTTCACAGCTCCTCTAGCTTGAGGCTATTGTGTATCACTACATCTTCAGCTGAGCTGTTGTAATGCTGTGATTGGAACCTTGGAAGTGGTGTTTTGCTTTCAGTAGGAAAGTTCTCTGTGTACCAAAGAAACAAACAAGATTGTGAAAGAACAGAAGAATTGTGTATGAAAGGTACTCCTGGCTTGCTTAAATAGTGACATAGGATACCTTACAGAGACTTTGGATTTTAGCATGCTGTAACTTTCTTTATGATGTATTTATAGGAAGAAATCAGATCAATTGCTTCTTCCTTGGCTTTCTAAAACTGAAGTCATAGGCCTACATAATGCAGTTTTAATTTCTTTTGAGTTCCCTCTTATCTTTACTTTACCCAAAGATGTAATTCTTCCTGGTCTCATCTGAAGTATTTATGGTTTTGCAACTATTTAAAAAAAAAAGAAAAAAAAAGAAAAAAAAAGAAAAAAATCCACCAAAGAAAAAGTTGAAAATCTGATTCTGTTCTTTTGGTTTTTTTTTCCTTCCCAGAAGTACACTGCCATTGGACTACTGGGCAGAGCTACTGATACATTAGATGCCACAGGAAAAGTAACTGAAGAAAAGCCTTATGGTAATGACAAATGAATCGATATGCTTGATGTTATTTGAAGGCATAAACAGACTATGTCATAGAAGAGTGGAAGAGATGTTTGGGGCTCTGTGAATTAAATTTAAATGTGAAATCAAACTAAGATTATTTCATCTTCAACTTCAGTGTTCATCTAATTCAGTCCAGCTTCATGCAATTATGTCCAGTGTGAGTGTTCATTTCTGTTGAGGAGAAAGAAAACAGTACAGGCAGTAGATTAAGAGGGAGAAAATAGAATTGAGCAGGACTGTGTCATTTTAAATCGCGAGCAGGCTGACAAATGGCATGCTGTGTCCAGTAAAACTTTCCTCTTTCAGTGTGTAGTCTCATGAGTCCTCTTTTAGTAACGCCCCTCACAGCCAGTGGAAGAATAAAGTACTCAGATCTTCCCTCCAGGATGTCTATTTAACTACAGACTTTGTGACATAAAATGAGGATGGCAGGATGCTTCCCCCTACATATGTTTACCTACCAAATCTTGCTCTTGCTTGCAGTCTGTGTCGTACCAACTTTAGTATATGAGATTTGCTGACCCACAGTGCAAGGGTTTAAGGGTTGAGGAGTGGAATACTTAAGGAATACACAAGCATGATGAAAAAGGTGGCTTGTATTCTATTCCTCAACCACAGCCTCCTTTCTTCTGTTGTCCTTCTTTTTACACAAGGTGTACAAGCATGATTTTGTTGTCCAACTTAAACCCCATGAATCAATCCAAATTGCATTATTTGCTAGGCAGTGCTATTTAGAGATGTTGAATCATTTGCTTTTGTCTCAGGACTGAATTTCTCTCTGAGCTTCTAAAGAACTGAATGCCAGCATGGTATTAAGGATTTCTAATTGCCAACGTTTGCTGATGACTGGTAAATGCTTCCCTGGTATTTTCTAATTCTCAAAGTAGGATGCTGTAGCTCTGCTGCAACGAGTATTCATTGTAGAATGCTCACAAACTGTGGATTAACTTTTCAAGTAGATGAAGCCCCCATTGTCAATTAAAAAAAAAAAAAATGCTATCAATCCCATGGCGAAGCTCAAAATCCGCTTTCACAAAAAGTATTGGCACTGGTGGGGCAATACAGTACTGGATGGGGGACGTGGCTTCCTTTTGCAGGAAGCAATGCTTACGAAATTTGTCTGTTGCATTCCTTATTCAAATCAGGTTCTAATTCTTCCTGAAGAAGAATTAAAGAACACGTGTACTCCCTTTTCTCCATGCTACGTACGTATTTTACCTTTTCTTCCTTCCTTACCTTCAAATAAAGCAGGTATTTCTCCAGTGCTTTCTCAAAGCAGCTTGGCTTTCTGGGTGACTCACTCACCCCTTATCTTAATTGCTACTACAGGAGCATACACAAAAGACATTTGAGGAAATTTTCAGCATTTCTTGACATCTGGATGGATCCTGGGAGATGCTGAGCATCTGCTAGGGAATGCAAACTCTGCAGTGCCAGCAGAATGCAAGGCTGGGACCTGGAGTAGGAGAGGGCAGTAAAACAGCCTGCAGGATGTGTAAACCTTCTCTGGAATGATTCCACTGGACCCAAAGAATAAAGTGCCTGAAGAAAGTTGCCTCCTATGAGAAAGTGTCAGATTGTAGTCCTCAAGGTGACTCTAGGCAGCACTTGGATAGCTAACTGCTGTGTGCTAAGTTCACAGTGAAGAATGTGTTGGAGAGAACTGCTTGGGCTTAATCCTTCCTGGACTTCTATGGTTTTTGTTTGCTTTTTTAGCAGAGAGAGAACTTGTATTATCACATGAGATTTACTTAAGGCTTCATGCTGCTCCCAGGCTCTCAGTTGCTGACTTTGGAAGCAGCAAGGATTTAGTGTTTTTCTCTGATACTTTCTTAGGAACTGTAGTGTTTGTAGCCTTTCTGTAACTACAAACAGGAACGTTCATTCTGAAACTTGCTTCCTCCCAGCTGCTCACAGACTGTATCCAGATTTGGGGAACAGAACTCCTCAGGGTTTTCTCCATGTTTCTGCTGATTATGCTACTCAAGCTTTAAAATGCTGTCCTTTCAGCATTCTGCTTGTCTGTTTGCAATTAGTTGCTGCCAGATTGAACTGAGGCCAGCTGCTGTAGTTTCCTTGGACAGTCGTGGCTAATTCTTCTGGCTTTGTGTTCTTCTTCAGTAGGGCTTGTTAGCAAGCACAGGGCGAGATCGCCCTGCAGTGGGGGCTTCATGAGGCTGTGGCACCTCTTGGTTTGGTAACTTCTATAGCTTTCTATGTGTTTACAACAGGAAAACATTTCTACGGTCATCAGCACCAAAAGCACTGCTGTTCTTGAAAATTTTCGTCTTAGGAGCCAAAGCATTCTGGATGTTTTTAGGATATTGGAGGAGTTTTGGGTGCTGGTAGAATTACAGGGGATGTTCCAGTGGAAGAAACAGTCTGTGTAGATGACACGTAACCCCACTGTTGGTGTAAGAGGTTTAGGAAGAAATTTAGAAAATAATGATGAATTAAATGTGTTTCACACAGAGCATCTGTAGCTGTTTTGTTTGAAGCTAGGGCTGTCATTACCCCTGGGGAAGGGGTGCAGTTATCCCGTGGGACAAACTTAGTCCTGAATCAGGGCAACAGTCCCTTAACCTCCTCTGAAAGGACAGATTGCTGCTACTTCAGTCCAGCTTTTAGCAAATCTTGTGTTCTGGGATGTGGCAGATGAGGATATTTGGCATTTGTAATCAGTGTAGTGGGGAGGGTGGGCTTATTCTTGGTAGCGGGAATGACTGGGATCTGTGCCAGGTAAGTACTGCAGAAACCTCTCTACCCCTTGCTCTGAGAGTAGAGAAGGGAAGTCCCACAGGAGAGAAACATTGGGAACAGCGGAAACTATTAATTCTTTATGGATGTGCTTATATTCCATGCTTAACAGAGGGCTGAGTCACAATGTTGCTCTAAACTTGCTGCAGAGAGGAGCTGTTAACTTGCTAAACTCAAGCCTGAGACCAGGGAAGGGAGAGCTGGGGACACAGGGCCAGAAGGGAGATATCTCTGCTGAGCAGGAGTGAATTCCCTCCTACCTGTATGGTGGATACAAGGAGAGTGGGAGCTGGAAGGCACTAAAGGAGTTGGCTTGCAGTGTATCTCTGTCCCCTGCTTAGCCATGAGTCCAGACTGGTGCCTGGGACAAACACACAATTTATACCAGTTTAGACACAGTGCAATTGTTTGTTTGGGTCTGGATTAATGGAGTATTCATCGGTGTCAGGTTGCTGGGTAAAAACTCTACCAGCTTGCTGTAGGGAAGAGCAAGAATCCAGCACAGCCCTTAGCACAAAGGCAATGCATGCTGGAGTAGAAAAAATAAAAACAATACATTTTCAGAGTTGAATTCTGACCACCTTAAGCCGTGATGTATCACAAAAAACAAACATGACTTATTCTATATCTCAACAAACTCATCTGTAAATATTTAGTTTGATAACACACTGCACAGCTTTGTAAATGGCTTTATGCATCATTCCTCACATGGGGATTTCTTTTTCTTTAGACATTAAATACTAAAGTCTAGCCTGAAACTGTGGAGTTTGCAAGAAGACTGACAGGATCACAGGCATCAAGTTGAGTCAAGCTAACTTTTCTCTGTGACTTTGTTGTGATACATTGCTAAACTACAGTAACGCAATCAGATTGAACTGATGGTGTAAGAGGCCCTTCAGAAGAAGATCCAGACTTAATGCGCAAGCAGTTCTGTCATTTCTGCTCCATGTTCTGTTGCATGTTGTTCTCTCTCAGCATCCCTGGTTGACCTGTGCGCCTTGCAGACTTGCTGTTAAAAACACTTCTGGAGACAGTGGTACTGCTTAGGCACAACAGGTGCTCCCAAGGCTGCAAAATGTGCATTGTGGAAAGGAGGTGCTACATTGCCATCTTCAAAAGTTTGTGTGAAAGAAACCTCTTCCTTCTTATTTTCAGCATGAAGGACATCAGTTTTGTAAGGGCTGCAAGTGCAGCTCTTCTCCAGAACAAGTTGATTTCAATTATATGCTAGGGTGCTGTTGGCTTAGGGTGATACTAATAAAATATAACTTATGAGGCAGAAGACTAAATAGTTACTGAAGTGCATTTTATTACAGATCTCATGTACAAAAACAATGTACAAAAGTACAAATACTTCCTAAACAAATTAGGGATTGATGTCATCTCTACTGAATAGTGTTTCAGAAGACCAGTGCAACCAGCTACTTTACTTCAATTGTAGCCTTCTAATAAAGGTGGGGCAGGGTGTGTATGTGTACCATCAAGAGAACAAATTTCTAAAAGTCATTACTTTCTCGTACAGGATATCTTCAGTACAGCTGACTTGCCTTTATGTAACAATACCTTTGTGAGCATCTACAAGTTAGATGTTTGATAGAGGAATTTAATGTGGTGTTCCAAGATGCAGTCTTTTTCTTGCTGGCAAAAAATAAGTGCAATGCTTTTGTTCTCCAATAACCTGTTGTATTTTTTCCCCGTGCTTAGGCACTCTTAAAGAGAAGTTACCAAGGCCAGATGAGCATTTTATTCTTCTCAGACCCTTAGCAAGGGTTAGAATAGCACAAGATTTGTAATTTTTGTGTAGTTCCTAAGAAGAATTAGTTGTTAGTCCCGATGGAGAGAAACTGCATAGCAGAACTATGTATGTAGGGATTTCTGCCCTTCTGAATGCGTCCAGACTGTCTTAATCACCCTGGACTGTTTGTTCCATCTTGTCGTGCTAATTCACACTCCTACCTACATTCTGTTTATCTTTCTTTGGCATTGTTCATCCAATCTAAATTCAGAGAAGGGGTACCACTTTTTATCTGTTTGTAAAACATGATGATTAGTGCAATGTGAATAACCATTGTTAACACTTTTTTTCTTTTTTCTTTTGACAGACCAAGTAACAAAATCAGATCTTGAGAATGTGCTGCAGAAGTTCACAGGGGACATAATGCAGGTTCCTCCACTGTAAGTTCCACAACATTCTGAATTCTCAGCTGTTGGAACTTGCCAACAGGAGTTGGTTATGGCAGAAATAAAGTAGAGACGTTTTGGCAAGGAGGTAGAGGCAATGTAGACTTAAGTTTAACATTTGCAACTGCAGGTCATGTTGCTTTCAGCATCCAGCTCAAATGGCAACCTGGAGTCTGTTTTGTTGATTTAAGTAGAGTAGCAGTCTTAAGCAGCTCTTACAGGACTGAGGGGGATTCTGTCCTGTCTTCCATTTAGAAGAGAAAGCCTCAAGAATTTAATTTTAATTACAGAATAGTGGAGAGGCTTACTAACGTCAGCTTGGAAGTTCCTTAAATGTCTTCAAATTAGTTTTCTGAATACTTCGAGTAGGAATAAATTGTTAGTGATTTAAACTTCCTTAGCTTTACAGTTTTCTTCTAGTCAGGTGAGCCATGGTAACTGGCAGTATGCAAGTGCTTAGCTTGTGACAGATGGCTTTCATGGTGATTTAAACTAATGTGCTTTCCTCTGCATTTGCATTGGCTTGCTTAGTGTGGCTCCACTGTGAGCCTTGTAAGGTCAGCAATTCAGTAGGTGTTCTGTTTCTGTGACCTTTTCAAATTACCTTCCAGTAATTTGAGCAAGATCATTTTTGATTTTGTTATAGTTGTCTTTCTGTCAGGGCCAAAGTGGGAGCTTTGGATAAAATTTAACATTATGAATGAAATTAATTGATTAAGCTTTTGTTCTAAACACCCTGAAACAAGGCTACATAACCTGACAGCTGCTGTTCAGGGAAGACCCTGGTCTGAGTAAAGTTGAAAGGCAGAATTACAGGTGTTGCCTGAGCAATGCCCGGTGCTCACCCCAACACAGCACTGAAGCAGCATGTCCTGTGGACTTCTGAATGATGGAATGCTAGAGGCAGCTGCAAGCATTGTACCTCTTACAGCAACTCTTTGCTTTCATAAACTGCAAGCTGAGTGATGAAACACTTAAATCTGAGCAAGAAGAGGTAATTTGAGGACCATCTCTTGTTTTCCAGGGTACATAACTACTGGTGAATAAGATTGTTTTGTGTCCAAGAGATTTCAGTAGTACTTGCTAGGTTTTATGTTTTTGTGTGGGAGCACGTAGAGAAGATTAGAAGAGTAAGTGTATGCTGTTGTGGTACAATATTAACAGGAGGGGAAGCTTGTTCTTTTACAACCGGGTGATGTGTTTTTCATGCTCTATCTGATCAGCTATTCTGCTTTGAAGAAGGATGGAGAAAGGCTATCAACTCTAATGAAGAGAGGAGAAGCAGTAGAAGCAAAGCCTGCTCGGCCAGTAAGAGTGTACAGCCTCTCTCTCCAACAGTTCCAGCCACCACTGTTCACACTGGGTAAAGGCCAAAGATTATTACATAGGGTGATGCTACCAGCTTGTTTGTTAGTGCTTATTTACGCTCAGAATGGGACTAAGATATTGAAATGGGTTTCGTTTCCCTCATCTACTTATTTTGGTGTGAGCCTGTGTGCAAAGACTTTCACTTTGCCGTAAAAGCACCATATTTTGGTTTTAAGTTAAGCTGATTATTTGTAATCTTTCTGTGAGGGAAAATTCTGAGAGGCTGGTCAGCGGATTATTTGCATCTGTCCATGATTTTGCAACCTCCAGCTCACCAGTCCTTTCTAAGGTCCGCTGACTTCACCTGACCCATACTTTTGCCTTGATGTCCAGAGCTGTTGGCATCTCTCCCTGTGTATCAGGGGTCCAGTAGCAGCAATTGTCAGGGCTTTTTCTAGTTTGCATTGCCAGGATCTTACACTTTCTTCTATCATACATTAAGAAGCACATTAATAAATCAAAGATCCTGTTGTAAATGTTTTATGCTACTGAGGTCTGGATAATCGTTTGCAGTGAGGTACTACCTGGTTGACCTGCAATCCTCTATTGGACCACATTGTATATGGTGAGCTGATTTGAGTGACAGATCTCAGTGCTGTGTTACTTCAGGCCTTACTTTCTGGTTGGGTGACCAGAAGCTGATCACTGGCAGGAGGGGAAGTTAAAGGGGAATTTTGAAATGTCAGCAGCTTTCATTGGAGCTGCCCAAGTGCAGTATCTTAAAAGCATTTCCTCAAATAACTTGGTTTCATCATTAGAAATATGAAATGACCTTCTGAAACCTTAAAAATGAATAGAACTGAAGCATTTTTAACATACCACAGCAAGTACTTAATTTCTAGCGAGTTAGTTCAGTTGCCATTGTATTTGCCTTCCCTCCTGTCTGGCTTAGCAATCTCACCCGCACATATGTTACAGGATGAATAATTGATGTTGCATCCTATAAATATTTTATCACTGGGTTGTTTGCTCAGTGCATGTTTACATTTGTCTGGGAGCACGGTCTCTATGTGAAGCAGATTTCACATTCTGCTGGCAGTTTACCATGTCACCATTAATGTTCCAGATGTCGAATGTGGCGGTGGCTTTTATGTCAGGAGCCTGGTCAGTGACATTGGCAAAGGTGGGTATGAGGAGATAAAGAAAGTGATGGTTTTCAGAAGTAATGTGTCTGCTTATAGAAAACTCTTGCCATTTTGTTTTGGTGTCCAGCCAACAAACTTAGGTAGTTTTGCAGCTTTGTGTTGCTACCACTTGCTTTTAATACTAGAGCATGTTCATTAGGAGCATGAAGGAATGAAGCCTAAACAATTGCTAAAGAACTCTGGGGGTTGGGGGGATAAAAATGGAGTGAGGAATAGCACTGAGCAAGAAAATGCAAGGCAAGGTGGGATTTTTTTTTTTTCCTCCATATGTTAAAGCTAACTCAGATTAAGGGTGAGAAGAAGCAGAAGAAAGATTCTGCCTTTTTAAACATTATTCATCACATTTTGAAAACAGATTGCACAGAACATTACCATGCACATAATAAACCCTGTCTGTTGGAAAGTCTTCTTCACTTGTGATTATTTTTTTTCTAGTGTTTTCTTTTTCCTTCCCTTGTACTGTGAATGATGTTGCTTTCCCACAGGATTATTTGTCTTGCGTCCTATATTTATCAAACTGCATGATGGAGAACAGATAGTCCATTTCAGTATTTTTTATTAAGTGATACATTTGCAGACCAAAAAACAAGCGATATGAGAGTATCCTGTGAATTTCAATGTTATTGCTTGTGCTTAAGGAAGTCAAAGATTCTCCTGCTATAGCCTCCTGTGTATAGTGGATTGTGTTTAGTCACTTAAAAAGCACACCAAGATAAAAATCTCTTCCCAGCTGGCTCTTTTTCAAACTATGAAATGCAGGAAAAATCCTTCTGCCCTCTGAAAGTGTGGACAGGAATATTTTAGTACACCTTTATACTATGGAGTCAGCTCCAGCTGCTCTTATCTTTGGTAACTCCTCATTATGTAATTATGTCCTATGTGTATTTAACCCATCAGAGGATCTGTTTAAATTTCGAATGTTTCCATATCTTAGTTTATATTATCTTGGAGAGTGTCACAGGTATAAGAATCCCAGAATTCTTCTTGAAGGCAGAAATGCTGAGACCTCTAAGTACAAGGGAAATCAGCACATGGTCCTCACAGTAGCTTGTGAATATGTAATGTGCTGCCTTTATTTTATGTCATTATTTTTCTTTCTGATTTAAATCTGGAAAACTTCCTGACAACTTTCTGTCAGATTTTGAACTCTTACTACACTGAAGGTCTACTAAAATCAAAGGAATTCCTTGCCTCAGATTTACAAAGATGTTAATGAGTGATGAATGTTCATTTCAAACTAAGCAGAGCAATGCAGAAAGCTACATATAGAAAAATAAGTGAGTTAAATTTGACCATGCATTTCTTATAAATTCTTGTTTCTCCTGTACTGTAGAACTTTCAACCTGTGCCAGCATACAGGAGCTGACCCGAACCAAACACGGACCGTTTACGCTGGAGGAGCACGCACTTCATGAAGACAGATGGACAATTGATGAAATTGCACGATCCTTAGAGCATTGCATGTCTCTTTTCCCAGGAGAGCAATCTCATAAAAAATTTAAGACAGAGCTTCCTGCAGAAACTGCTGTGAGCCGTGAAGATAAGTGATAAGTTGGGTCAAGGAAAAAGACTGAATGATTGAGACGTTTTTAGATTGGATTGGGATTGTCTTGCCTTTTGTAGAAATTTACAGGTCTGTGTTGGGAGGGTGACAAAATGCAGTGCAAGACAAATGGTTCTTTTGTTTTCTGGGGCTAGAACATGCACTGAAAACATCCAGTGCCTGCTGCTTCATGATCTGTTTATTTCCCTCATTACATTGTGTAAATTGTTCTGCGCTGACGTCAAGTCTGCATAAACTTTTAAAGAACTTTTAGGGTGCCCTACAGCTGTTGTTACTAATTCTTCAATAAAAAATTACAAACCTTAGGATTTACTGAATGTGCTCCAAAGAAAAATTCTTTTTTACCTTGACAGATGCTTCCAAACACTGAAGTGCCATAGTGACAGGACTTTCATAGCTGCAAGGGTATATGAATGCAGAGTGGCAATTTGTTTTCTTGAAATCCATTTTGGAAAGTGCCCACTTTACTGTAGTTTTTGCTATGCAGATTGTTCTTTCAGTCAAATGTTATCCAGAATGCATTAAACCTAAATGCTGATGTTTCAGGCGAGGTCTGAAATGGTATTGTAAGTGAATAGTTTATAAATTCAAAGAGTCTGTAAAGGTAATTGTTATGTAACTAGTGCTCTGAAAGGTGCATTCATCATTACAGGTATATATATCCTATTCTGGTATGATATCCTAAATGTTGATGATCTGTCATTTCAAGTCTAGTCAACTGCTTTGTCTTTCATAGGGCTTTGAGAGTTGAATTCTGCAGAGCGTGACTCGAAGCTGTGTGGGCAGCAGCAGGGTCCAACATGGAGAGTCTTTGCTGAAACCATGTTAGTTTGCTGGGGCAGTGAGTGCCTGTTCAATAGTTCGCATATTCAACAGAATTTGATTGCACTGATAATTTCTCAGTGCCACTTCTCTAGAGGTTTGCAGAATGACTAAGAGTAAGGGCTGCTGGTGCTGAAAAGCACCCAGATTCTTTCTGGCTGTGTACCAGACTGTCCAAGCAGGGCTTTCATATTTGTCCCCATTCAATAGTCTAGTAGCACATCTACTTTCCTTTTGCTAAAACTATTCCTTTTGTTCATTGTGACATGTATGACATGAGTATCTGAGAGAAAGCCCTGCATTTTAAGTAGTCACTGAATTGCCAAACAAGAGGAGTGGAGTGGCTGCAGTTCCATGCTGCTCGCTGGCCAGGTGGTCTGCTGAGGCTTTGTAAAACTCCTACAATATCAACATCAGTTTTGGTTCTGGGATACAGCTACTGGGTTCTCTTACTCTAGTGACTGAAGCGGGAAGGCAACAGAAGTTAGATCTTGTGGGCATATCTTTCACAGATGTGAAACTTTGATTTAATGACTGTGTTACTCATCTTGCTGCTTTCTGTGGTAAGCTGTCTCAATGGCTAATTACCTGCCTTGTATGAAAGAAGTGACATTTTAGTCCCAGTTAGAAAATCCACACACCACGTTTTACATCTCTGCACCTTACATAGTGCAGCTTTCTCTATGTGCTGGTATTATGTGAAATGAAGTTCAAACTTTGCTTTCAACTTCAGTAAATATCCTAAAGTTTTTATTGCAGAATACCTTTTGAGACAACTGTAGTTTTTATTTGTTTGCTATAAAATAAGGAACTCAAGTCTCTGCAAGATTAATGAAGCCTCTTTTGATTGTTCTTGGAGGAGGATAGAGCTTATCTTGTGTTGTCCAGTAAACAGTTTTCTTCTTTTATGTATTCTTATAAAGAACTTAAGGGAAACATTGAAAATGCTGCACGCACATCACAGCATTGGAGCACTGCAGCAGCACCTGCTTTATGTAGAATGTGGATGAAGTAACTGTTATAAAAAAATCCTGATATGAGAAATGGAAGAAGAGTTGTACTAAGACAGCAGGATGATTCTGGGTGTTTCTTTTATGGATTCTTTTTGGTACTTTGGGTAGGAACAGAGAAGAAAAATTGTTTTCAAGAAACAAGTGCTTAGAACTTTGTATCGAATTAATGAACAGTTTATTTCCAGGTGAATTGTGTTATATTATGGAAGCTATTTCACTTACAGCTTGACTAGAGAGTATGCTTGGTTGTACTGAAAATGGCAGATAGCATGCATTGTGACGTCAGACGTAAGTAAGATAGCTGTGTTTAGACAGTACATGGCATAAAACCATGAGCAAGTAATGTAATAAAAGCTTATTTTGTGACCAGAGGTGAGTATCAGACCTGTTCCGGCCCTAAACAGTTGAGATTCTTCCCATTGTCTTTCCTGGGTGCTCAACCTCACAAATGTGCTCTTTCCTGAGTAACTCTATGCTTTGAGTGATTAGGCCCAATGAGTGGTAGGGAGGCCACTGAAAATTAAACAAATAGCTTTTTTTAGATGTGTTTTAATGAGTGTATAACCCCGTATCTTGAAACTTTCCAGATCTGAAAGTGTTGTGTTCCCATGGGAACCTAGGGAAATATTCTCTCATTTTAACTCCTTATTAAGATGCACGTCCCTGAGATATCAGCCTTAGGAACTGTGATCCATGGGAAGACTTAAGCTTTCCCAGAAGGAAATCACAGATCTTGTTTACTGATGATCATGATGTCTGAAGATTAAGGGCTATTTAAATGAGAGGAAAAGTGCAGATATGGTTTTTCTGAGACAAGTTGAGATCAAAACCAAGTGAGAAAAGTTGGTATCAAATGCCCAGCTGAGAGTACTTTATGTACAAAGGTTAATTAGGAATTATATGCTGTTCTGGCCATAAAATATGCATGTCTCTGTGACTTACTACTGAAGTACTTCAGTGATGCAGACTTGAGGATTTGTGTCATTTTAATGAGCATTGTTCATGGAGAAAATTCTGTTTCAAAATATATACATATACATATATATATATATCCTGTGTTTTGACATAAATATTTTCCCTCTTGAGTTTGGATTCGTGATCTTTAATCCATGGCATTATGCTCCTTTAGTCTGGCCTTGTCTTTGCTGCCAGTGCTGGTGCTGCTTCAATGAGACTGACAATGGCTTTGTCATTTATCTCCTCCTAATGTCCCTGCTGGGCAAGGTCTCTTTCTTCCTGCTTTAAATGGTAGTTTTTCTGTGTGCTTCATATTATTTTTCTGCTGCCAGCATGCTGAGCATTTTTTAAATGTTTTTAAGTAAAATCGATAGGATCTTTCTTTTTACATATATTCATCAAGCAAGAGCCATTAGTGAAATATTTTAGGAGCGCCTTCATCAATAACTAACATTTAGCATCTTGCCCTGCAGAACTGGTTTTGATTTATATGTTTATTAGAAGAAAATTAAGTCAAACAACTTTGGATGGCTCACCAGATTTTGGACTTTTTTTTTTTGGTGTAATAAATGGTCAAGTTGCTATTGTGGTCATGAATGGCTCTAAGAATTTAATGGCTGGGATCATTCTTGGTTTGCTTGGTGGAGTTGAGGGATTGGTTGGCAACAGTATTTCTTTTATTAAAAAGCATTAGGGAAATAAAAGCAAGGTGCATGTGTGTGTGGGAGTGTAACACCACAGGAGGGATGTCGTGTGGACTCTGAATGGATTCAGCCCATCTGTGGGCAAAATTGCTGTCCCTATTAACCATCAGACATTTTTTCTAATTTGCTTCTTTGTGAGACCTGGTTAAGGAAATCACCAATGCTTAGGAGCACATCAGACAAGCAGGGTTATCACCTGAATGCTTATGCCCTCATTCGGAGCTGTGAGATTGCCCATTTTTCTTACTGTCTTTGAGGTCAGCCACAGGTTCAGACGGGTGTCCAGCAGGCACAGCAAGATGGTGGTAATTGGCAGCGGGTGATTTCAGTGCTTGGGATAAGAAATGCTTTCTGAAAACACAGAGCTGCGTTGCATGAAGGAAACCTTACTTTTTCCAGACCTCTTTTTGAAAATGTGCTGGGGACACTGCAGTGTCTCAGATAATCTGTTAACATAGGATGCCAGAGGAAAGCCTGGAAGAAGTGGGGTCAAATCAAATCAGCATCCTCTCCCTAACTTTTCCACATGGCTTTGCTTTCTGTGTTGTGAGCTGTAAAACAATGCAGTGATGCTAGTAAAGGGCATATGTGGCTTGTTCCATAAGACATTAGTAACTGAGAGTGGGAGTAGAAATGAGGCAATAGAATTGGTAGCACAAACACACACGTCTCTGCAGCTTACAAAATAGCCTTCTTACCAGATTTGTTTGTCTTAGGTTACAGCTTGGTGCCTGGCTTTCCTATTTGCATCCCATTAATTCATCTGCTGCTTGAAACATTCACCCTAAAATGCTCTTGTCCTCTCTTGAGTTCTTTTCCAGGTACAAGAGGACAGTGGGAAAGCGTGGAGTAAAGATGCTTGGGGAGAGAAGGGACAAGAAAAAACTGGTAACAAAGTAGAGCTGAAAATGAAGAGGTCTTTTTGACCCATTCCTGACGCTGTTCTTTTCCTAAGAAAGACATAGTCCTGGATGCTTCAGTGCTCTTTCTCAGGGACATAGGATTATTTTTGATCTTTCAGAATTAAGTACTTCAAAGTCAGATCTGCAGCTGAGTGTATGCATTAAAAACAAAATGCATCATTTCACAGATGTCAGACTACTTTTAGTGGCTTCAGAGCATAATTTTATAGTTCACATAGGAGGGGGGGTCTAGAAGAGGAATAACAAGAGGTGAACGCATATTTCAGTTGTTACGTTTTGAAGTAGATGAACTCATTTTAGGCAATCATGAAAGAAGATATATTAAGTATTATAAAGTAAGAAAGGTAAGGAGAGGATGCCATTTTTACTAGGTTTCTTTAAGCACATAAAGCAATTAGCTTAAATACATCATTTCAGAGCTTAAGAAGCTTTTAGGTAGAAATGCATAATAGAGGTTGTTACTGTATACTGATGTGAGAGAAGCATTTCTTTTCACTTCAGCAGTTGAAAAGATAGCTTTCTATGATGCCCTTCAAAAGGCAGCAACATTTCACTGTTTTTGTTTTGCTTATGTTGAATTGCAGTAAATCTCAACACGGCTTATTCTTTGGTGAGCGGTATGTCAACACTATGTCAACACTGAGTCCCTGTCTGCAGCTGGCTTTCTTTGGGGTCAACAAAACCATTTCAAGTCCTGCAGGTACAGAATATGCATTTGCAGTGTAAATGGAACATTGTGTACAAACACTAAATATGCTTAAAAAAACCAGGAATAATACTCTGTAATCTTTGCTATGCAGATTGCTCTTTCAGTAAACTGCTACACAAAATGCATGAAGGCTAGCTGCTGCTGCACTGCTTTGTATATAGTTCCTTCTTAGCTTTATACTCTCACTTGAACAAAGGGCACTGGCAGACTGTTGGTTTCTTGTCAGGGTGATTAATTTCACGTAGCTGCTCATTCACAGAGTGACTGCTGCCTTTAACCATTGCGTTTGCCCACTGTGATGTCCTTAGCACAGTGTCTGCCCCTCTGCCAGCAGAAACGAATGCATATCTTCTCCTCTGTCCCACCTGTGGGCCTTCTCATGGACTGTCACAGTGATGTGCAGTGCTGGTGTGGTGTCTTTGTGCAGGTAGGTGAGATGAGTAAAGAGATGCCCGTGTGTCTCCTGGTGGTGCTCAGCCACCTCTGGTGAAGGCAGAGCAGGCAGCGTTGTGGCAGTGCTCTGTACTGCAAAGGGTCAGCAGGGTGTGTAAGAGAAGTAGGTAACTTAAAGCACATGGTGTTTCACTTGGTTTCAGTGAGACAACTCCTGCCTCGCTTCAGTAAGTTACATACATTATTACTCACTGAATTATGTATTTAATTTTCACTTTTTCACCTTTTTTTTTGGTGAAATACAAACAAATGGGTTGAAAAATGGTATTTCTTTTTGCAGGGGGAAAAGGAGAATAAATATTAATGATGTGGCACATTACTTAGAGTTGTTCTGCATCTGATGAATATGTAACAGTTCTATTTTCTACTTAAAACTTAAAAATTGTCAGAATAGAATTAGTGTTACATCTTATGTGTTTATCTAGGAAATGTATTTGTTTCTCTAGAGACTGCTATTAAAAGCTGTGCAGAATGAATAAACCTGTTTGAGTGTGTTATGATTTGTTTCTAGGGCCAGGAATGTATAACTTTTGCTGAATTGTGTAGAGTTGCCTTGCACCAGTTTTGTTGGTTCTCTGTTACACTGAGGATATTGTTTACTACTGGAAGGAATAACATGTTCATACAGCTAGAGCTGGCGTTCAGCTGTTTTATCAGTGGAAACAGCAGAACTAATCCTCACTCTTTTTTTGGCACTCTGGTCAAATGTAGTTGAATATTTTGGGAAGCTCAGTTAATACAGCATTTGGTTATTTCCTGGCAACCTGTGAGTGCTTGCAGATCTGTGGATAAAGCACAACAGGTAACCAGAACTCCCACTCCTGTGTGTGCTTCTGCAGAAGTCAGGAGGGATCCCCACAGATTCCTGTGTGGCACAGGAGTGATGCTGAGGATGGGGTGATTTAAGGAATAGATGGAAAAAAATCTTCAGCCTTCATGCCTGTGCCCTTAATTCTTCAGGGAGGAAAATGTTTCAGCAGTGTTCATTTTGAAGTAAGCTCAATCCAATAAATTTTTAATTATACATAAGCCACACAGCATACTCCTTCCATGCCAAGGAGAGCCCTTCCATCAATTAGCCTGATTTCTTTGGGTCAGAATCTGATTTAAATATGCTGTGATACTGTTTCAGTGGAAGCTGATCTGTTGACCCTTGATAACTTGGGAAGGAGTTCCTGAGCCTAAGAGATGCTCGTGGTGTATGGGGCAGGCTTGATTCCTGCCTCTACAGTGCATGCTCTGTGCTCCCAGCATCAGCCCTGGTGATCTGAATGGGAAATGGGAAGCTCAACCCTAGCACAGCTGCTTTAATTCTTCTGATGAATATGAAAAGCCTTACAAAAGTGAATAGCAAAAAATGATTTGAAACAGGAAAAAAAAAAAACGTTTGGAAGCCTTTATTTGAGAAATAAACCTGTTAGCAATCATGCAGGGTCAGTGGGGAGCTTCTCCAAAGCATGGGTTCTTGCACATGGAGAGAGGATGATCCTCAGTGTGCTGTTGGCTCCATGTGGGGTGAGTGCTGGCAGAGGGCTGCTCCCAGCTGGGTTCCCTTTGCAACCAGCTGGAGCTGCCAGAGCTGCCCTGCAGCTGGCTCAGTGTGAGGGATTCAAATTAACTTTGTGGGAAGGATGCATCAGATCAGAGGGCACCAGATGTGCTGGAACGCAGGGGTACTCAGTTAAAAAAAAAAAAAAAAAAAAGCGTGAGGAAAAGGGGGAACTTACTTTTTGCTTTAAAAATTTGTTGTCTTAGAAATTATCTGGCTTTGGTTGGTCAAACATGCATGTCTGTGCAATCTATTGCAGGCTGACATCAGAATGAAAAGAGAAACTCAGCTCATGGGTCTGAACCGTGGTGCTTAATTGAAGAACTGTCAGTGCCATAAGCAGCAGCATGTGAAGGCTCCTTCTGAGTTTTAATTAATACTTAGCTGCTCATCTTCTTTCGCTTCGTCTGCCCAGACACATATCACAAAGGGCAAGCCCTGGAAATGAAGATACAATTATTCTTTAATTTGAAAAGCAAACTATAGAGTTGGTAGCATTGACTCCTGCTCACAGTGCTGTCAAACTTTGCTTTAACTCAATTATTGAGGCATTTGGCTCATTTAGAATAGATTCGAGCATGTGAATGTGAAACAGCATCGATGTGAAACATTGGTGTTCCTTCGCAGACGATGTAAGTATCCACAGCAGTCAATAATATTTATCTCTCTGTGGATTCTCCTGCTTAAACTAAAGCAAAAAACCAGAAACACGCAGGCATGTCAGGAGTGGAAACAAACTCCAGATTGGTGTTTGTGGATGTGAACTCCAGCAGAAATGAAGCTCGACAGAGCACTTTGTAGGGCTGAGACGAATAGCAAGCAGCTCGGCTTCTGATTCTTGTCACCCAGAGGAAATGTTACTGGTAGTATAATTTAGGATTCACATATGCTGATTGGATGTGTTTGCTTTTGTCACAGAGCAGAAAAAGAGGCTTTTTTTTTTTTTTTTGCTTACAAGTAGTTTTAAAACATTTCTGACTGTAGGTCATAGTTTGACATTATGTGCTTTAAATAACAAAATGCCTTCAACCAGAGTGTAAAAAAAAAAAAAACAACAAATTTGATCAGGACACCATTTTCAGAACAGTGTTCCCCTCACCCATTAACTAAGTGTGAAGTGTATTTGCTGGTCTACTCTCATTCTTAAATCAACTTTGATTAGTTCTGCTGAAAATTGTCAGTGTGATGTCCAAATTTTTCCATTGGCCTACCATTACTGCTGATTTACATGAGAACTTGGAACCCCAAAAGCATTCACTAAGCTCACTTTAAATGAATAATGTCAAAGTTCAATTTCATTTAAGGCTATTTTCCATTTGCTTGTATGTAGTGGTAGAGAAGGAATGCAGGAAAGCTGTCTCATTGGCTGGCAGGTGAGAATTAGTTCAAAAGGAAGCCCGGTGCCTCCAGGAATGTCTTTCTAGCAGCAGTCTGATCTCTGCAGGTTACCCTTTGGAGTTATTTTAAATCAGCCTCTCCTTTGGCTGTGCTGGTTGGAAGTGCCCGTTAAATCTGCAATCCTGTTTAGCTTACAACTTTAAAGCATAATTGAGGGCATTATTTCAAAGCACAGTGCTTTCTGAAGCTCCATTTCTTAGAAGGGGTTTTGCAGTTCAACAAGAACTCTTCTGATGCAGTGAACCCTGGCCTCTGTCCTGGTTTTGTGAAGGTAAAGCTGAGCTGGGAAGACTCTGGCATTCTTTACAATGTTTAGATGAAATATACTTCAGTATTTCTCTCGTCAAAATGCAGATGAACCTTAACTCAGTGTTTTATTACTTTCTTTGATGAAGGAACTTGTGAAGAAATTATTCCGTAAGCAGTTCCTTCTTGCCTGCCCTGCTGAAGGAGTTCAGGCACAAAGGCTGTTCTTTTACAGCATGGCATGTTTGCATTGCGCCTCTTACGTGGGGATGTTGACACAACTTGCAAATACTAAGAGAAGACTGCGTCCCAACGAGGTGGTAAAACAGCAGTGGATTTGCATAGAATCCTAGAATGGCTGAGGCTGGAAGGGTCCCCAAAGATCACCCAGCCCCACCCCTGCCATGGGTTGGGTGCCTCCCACCAGGTCAGTGCCCGGAATCCCACCCAACATGAGCACCCCCAGGAATGGCACAACCACAGCTCTATGGGCAGCACTGCCAGTGCCTCCCTGCCTTTGTGTAAAGAATGTCTTTCTAACATCTAACTTAAATCTCCCCTCTTTCAGTTTATAGCCATTCCCCCTTGTCCTGTCACTATTAGACCATGTAGAAAGTCAGTATTTAGGAGAGAGGTCTCCTGCAGTGTTATGGTTGTACCTGTGTGGCAGCAGCTGTGCTAAGCCTCCCATGCTCCATGAGGTTCTATCATGTGAAACTCAATCACAAGACCAGATTCTCTGGTAGGGATATTTTGTTTAATTTTTTTTTACAACAATACTGGAACGGACCAAGGTTGAGGGTTTTTTTTGTGTCTCTTTGTAGATGCTCAGACAGTGGAGATGCTGACCAGCCAATTGTATCTGACAGTGCTGTTGGAATTGAGTCTCTTTTCTGCCTTTTCCTCTGCATACTGCCCTAGTTTCCTCCCAGCAGCCGCACAGCGTGGCACCAGCAGTGCAATTCAGATCTAAATTTATGAATGTCTGCTACAGTGTGAGTTGTGCCCCTACGCACTGCTTGTTCTCGTGCATCTTAAAGCAGTAGGAAAATAACAAAACTGATGGAAAGAAGGCACAGGAACGTAATAATGGTGGAAAGCACATTTTCTCATTTAGTCATCTAACAAAAAAATGTGTTACAAGATTCTGAAAGAGTGATGAAAGGTTGATGCTGCAGTGTGCGGCTTGGGGAGCTTGAAGGGGAGTGTTTGTGAAGGCAGTGCTGCCTCTTGGTCAGAACATCAGCAGCCCTGTGCTCTGCTTGGAACTGTAGTTGAAACTGCTGGTAACCTTGGAGGTAGATACAATGAAGTGCTTCAAATCAGTAAGGAGAAAAAGCCACCTGAATACTTTCAAAAATCCCAACCATTGACCATCATGATCCTTTTATGAATTGTTCCACACACTGATTACAGTCGACCTGTTCAGGGTGCAGCCATCACTCACCTGCAGCACATTCCCTTGCCACCTTTCCTGCAGCAGTGCTATTTCCCTGACTCAGCACTTAGAAGGTGCTTTGAGGAACACTGCTTTATAGCTCTCTCCTTCTCTCTGCTTTACTATTTCCATGCACAATTGTTTTCTTTCCTTTGTCATTGCTTGGCGTTGTTTTCTTCTTGTTGCTGCAAGAGCCCTAGCAGCTGGATTCCCACTTACCTGTATCTGTTTTTGTATTGCCTGCTTTTCTTTTCCCCTTAATGAGCGCTGCACTCTGTAGTTTTTCCTGTGTAATATAAGTAACTGGCAGATGTTATCCAGTCTTTTCTTAAATTTTGCCATCCTTAGCTATATTGTTGTTATTTACTGCTGCTTTTCCCCTTATGGTGCCTTCCAAAGAGAAAAACAGGGCTTTGGTTGTGTTAGGCGTTTTGTACCGGGAGAGCAAAAATGGGACCTTTGTGAAGAAGCTGGAATGTGACTGATGGGGGGGGAGGAAGGAGGGGCATTGGGATGATGGATCCGTGCTGGTTGGTGTGCCTGGGAAATGTCCTGACACCCAATCACACCTTTAATACTATGTGCTGGTACATAGCCCTCTGGTCCTCAGGGAATTGAAGTAAAAATGATAATAGGAATTGGAGAGGAAAACACATTCTTGCAGTGTGCACTAATATAGCTGGGAAAATAAGAAAATGAAGACAAAGCAACATTTACTCTTCAAAGTGTTTTTGTTTTTTCTTGGTATCAATTCTTCCCTTTCTGTCTCACCATGCTGGTAAGAGCATCAGGATCCCAAAGTGCTCAGTGCTGAGTTAAGCTCAGCCTCTGCTCCAGAGCTCCCAGTGT